AAAATCAAATTATCCAAAAAAGAAAATGATGTTGGCGAGGATTTTGATGTTTTAGGAGTTCTTAAAGCGAGCGTGAATGGTAGTGTAGTTGATTATGGTGAAGTGGATGCTGATTTTGAAGATTTATTAGATGGAGAGCACCACCTAGAAGAAGGAAATCTTCTTGGTGCCTCTTCTTTAGAAATATCTAATAGCTGCTCTGCGTCACATTCCCAAGATGGAGAGGATGCTGATGAAAACAAGTGGCACCATGTACGAAAAGGCACCAAAATAATTGTTCAAGTTGTGAAAGAAGGATTGGGTACAAAAAGTCCCACACTGACTGCTTATCCAAAATTAAGAAGCAGATTCTGGGTATTTTCTCTTGTTTCTCCTACTTTAGTTCCCTCCCTGTTCTCTCTGTAAATCATTGATCATAAAGTTGCTTATTTTTCTGAAGTTTTTCCTGGATCGCAGGTATTACTCACCAGTTGTGACAAAATTGGAGTCTCAAAAAAGATCACTGGTGTTGAGCGTACGCGTCTGAAAGTCGTAGCAAAAACATTGCAGCCTCAGGGCTTTGGTCTAACTGTAAGGACTGTTGCTACTGGACGTACTTTGGAGGAGCTGCAGAAAGACTTAGAAGGGTTGCTTTCAACTTGGAAAAGTATAGTCGAACATGCTAAATCTGCAGCTCTTGCTGCAGATGAAGGCGTAGAAGGGGCAACACCTGTTTTGCTGCATAGAGCAATGGGTCAAACACACTCGGTTGTTCAGGACTACTTTAATGATAATGTAGGTGTCTGTCATTTATCTTGTTCCCATTCTTCCATTCACTTATACCTTTCCAATGTTTTTGTACATCAGGAGCTTCTGATTGTGTTTCAGTATCTTCTTACTATCACCTTTTTTTTCATGTATCTAATTTCCATTCATGGTCTAACCTCATTTTTATTTTAGTTTTCTATTGTGTTTCAGTATCTTCTTACTATCACCTTTTTTTTCATGTATCTTCAGGTTAACAAAATGGTAGTTGACTCGCCAAGAACATATCATGAGGTATTGCATTATTGGGACTGAGGCAATGAATGCATCACTTTCAGCATGCATTTTTTTAATTTCCATTCATGGTCTAACCTCATTTTTATTTTAGTTTTCTTATTAATGAAATTTTAACTACTGTAAAGTTGGTTTTTTTTCTTTTACAAAGAAAAAAGTGGGTCATATCTTTTTACCTGATATTTCAATTTTACTTTTTCATTTCTATTCATACATCTCACTTTTTCTTTATTAGTTTGTTTGTTATGAAATAGAGAGGTATCAGCTTTCTTTTTGGTGTAAGGTTACCAACTATCTTCAGGATATAGCTCCTGATCTTTGTGATCGAGTAGAGTTATATGAAAAAAGGATTCCTCTTTTTGATGCATTCAACATTGAGGAAGAGATCAACAGTATCCTCAGCAAAAGGTGAGGATAACTTTTATATGCAAATGCTCTTAGTATTTTAGGTAAAATGTAGCTGTGAGGCTGGGACTGCGACCTTTGTAAATTCTTATACCGTGATCTGATAGATTTGACTCCTTATAATCAGCTGATCTTGCTTCCTGGGTTAGAATTATAAGAATCAAGTTTTGGAATTAATTAGTGATGACTTCAACTGTCAGTAACAGCACCATAACAAGAGGTTGAGGAGTCAGCTTCCATACAATCTTTTGGGTTTGAAAGAGAGATTTAGCCGTCTTTAATACCACTACTTGAAATGGGCCGCTGAGACAAAAACTGAGTCAAATTATCTGTTCCCTTAATTGGCTTCAGAGTTTTTCAGGCATCTATGCTTCGTTTTTGTCCTTTTCTTGAACTTAAATATTCCACTTATACCAAAACATACATCAAGCTACAATTAAGGAAATGATCTTAAAAAGTTAAACAAATAAGTTTGATAGCCCTAATTCATTCCTATAAGAGAAGCTAAATTGATAACCGATATTTTTTCCCCACAAATACACGATGATTATGCAAGGTTGCCTGTGTGTTACTGGGAAATGTCGTATACCTTCTATGTTTTCTATCTGATGTCACATACAATTCTTGCTGACAGGGTTCCACTCCCAAATGGAGGTTCCTTGGTGATTGAACAAACAGAGGCCTTAGTTTCAATTGATGTAAATGGAGGACATGGGATGTTTGGTCGTGGGGCATCACACGAAATAGCCACTCTGGATGTCAATCTTGCTGCTGCGAAACAAGTATGTTGAGAACATTTTACCGTAATTATTCCCCCCCCCCTTTGTATGCACATCCAACCCACAATCATAAGTGTGTCTATCTGAGAGGGGAAGTATGCCATTATATCGTGGATCCTAATTTTTTTTTCTTCTTTTTACTTTCTTCTGAAATATAATCAGGCACTGTTCCTCAGTTTCATTATACTCCGACTATTGATTTTTTTCATAGTATATGGACGGATAATCACATTTTCTCATAATAGCTGCTGATGGCTACACTAAAACCCCCTTTTTTGTATGGCAATAATCAATTCAACTGATATGAACACAATCATTCTACTTAACATATCTATTAGGATGTAAAAAATTTGAATTTATGTATACCAATAATTGTTTCCCTTGATATAAAGTCAATAATGATACCTAACGTTCAGATTAAGAAGCTTCACCTTTAGTGTAAGAGGGAAGCGGTAGTAGGAGGATAGGAAACGGGTGCATCTTTTATGAAGTGCTTGTATTCTGTACATAATTAATCTTCATCGCGGTCTCTTGTTCTTTTTGTATGTTGTTTTCAATAAATTATCCACCCATGTGACCATTGCATTAAAGGATTTGATAGTTTTTTTTAACAATAAATACTACTTTTCAGATTGCAAGGGAGTTACAGTCAAGTATGTTACAGTTCTTATCCTTTGTTTCTACCCGTTTGATTTTGTTAGCTACTCTAGTAAAAACTTGAAGATGCTATGTAGCATTACAAACTTGCATTCTCTCTCTCGCTCTCTCCCCTTTTTCCTATCCAACTCATTAGTAGCCTGCTCAAGTAAACCTTGTGAATGTTACTTCTTGCTTGAAGTGGTAAAACAAGGTTGTCTTGTTCTAACTTCTTTGGAGTAAGGAAATGTGTCACTGATATTTACGTGGCTCTCTAAATTTCAGCAAATAAGAGACTAGTATATGAAAAAGTAAAGAAAGCAGTTGAGAGAGATCGATCAATGGTGAAAGTCTCTGAATTATCGAAACATGGGCTCATGGAAATAACAAGTAAGAGGGTATGCTAGTTCCTTAAATTTTGCTTCTAATTTTCAGGGAACTTTCCCAGGGTTTCAATGGACGGTATTAATATATATACCTGCTCCTTAATTTATCATAATTTCTAACTTAAGATAAAGCCTTATTTTCAAATGACAATATTTAATCTTCAATTCCAACTGATTTATTTTTTATTAACTTTTAAATGATATAATCTTTGAACAGGTTCGGCCAAGCGTGACATTTATGATTAGTGAACCCTGCACTTGCTGTCATGGTACAGGGAGAGTTGAAGCTTTGGAGACCTCCTTTTCAAAAATTGAACAACAAATTTGCAGATTACTTGTAAGTTATATATATATATATATATATATATATATATATTCAGAGCATAGTTCACTTTGCAACAGAATGGATAAGAGTTAGATAAAGTTTATCCTACTTTTGATTTTAAAGGACCTTGTTTCCCTCTGATGTGAATGGCAATAAAATAATCTGTTTATACCTTTCTCTTTTTTGGCATCAGGCGGTGATGAAACAGAAGGCAAACCCTGAAAATCCAAAATCTTGGCCTAGATTTGTCCTGAGGGTTAACCAACACATGTGTAATTACTTAACTTCTGGGAAAAGGACCAGACTTGCCATCTTGAGCAATTCTCTGAAAGTGTGGCTTCTTGGTGCACCATGTTCATTGACTTCTCTCATTTCTGCATTTTTACCATAAGTTAGCATATCGATAACACGGTTCCTTTTTCGAACATTCAACTGTTGTATGATTGGTGATTAGCAGTATTTGACTACTAACATGCGTGTTCATCGTCTCATCATCCCTCAATTTGCATGTACGTTGTCAAAGTCTATTTTAGGCTGTAATATATCTAGTACAGCATCATGCATCAGTTGAGCATGTTATCTACCTTCTACCTTGACATCCTTGTCCACTGAAATCATTTGTGTTTTTGCAAAAAATTGGCTGAACCCAAGTAATTTCTGTATGCTGATATTGCATGGAACTACAGACTATTATTTGTGACTTATTTTACTGACCACCAAAATTTTAAAACCTAGGTTGCACGAAATTTCACCAGGGGAGCATTTGAATTGAAACCATTTACAGACGAGAAAGCAGACAAAAATCAACATCAAGTTGCTATTTCGATGCTACGTACAGCAGAAGCTGAAACTTTCAAATCTGGCAAGAAACGGACGCTTGTTCCAGTTAAGAGGGCCAAGGTTAATACGAAATAACAGAGCAGGATCGAACAAGCTAATAAGACACGGATTCTTCCCCCAGGGTCTTATATTCGAAGAGAAAGGGTCAGACGAACGAAGAGTTTACAAGAGGAAGTGATGGTTTAGTAGTATCAAATTGATTTCCATGCCCTTCTCGCTGTTAGTACCCCATACAAATACAAAGTAAAACCAGGCTAACTCGTACTACATTTTTCTTTCATATTACTTGGCATGCCAATTTTGATATTGAGAACATCATTCTTGACAGCAACGTTGAGTGATTTATGAGTTAGAAAAGCTAGATAAAGTTTTACTTTATCATTTGCTGAGGAATAAATTTTTATACCTAAGTAGTTTATATCAAAGCTTTAGAGTAATCAATAAATAATGAAAACCAACTCAATTCATTCTAATTTAAGAATGCATTAGCCAGGAGAGTAGTATGTTGCTCTTCAATTCCAATGTTGAATACTGAGGATGCTTCATTTGTTGCTTGTAATACTCTCTGATTCTTCAGTCTGGTTGGCGGCCACTAAATGTATTAGTAGTGAAAACTATAACTGTAATGTACTCAACCGGATCAGGTAGGGAATGTTTATTGTTCGATTTTAATTGAATCAACTGACCGAACTGAAATTTAACGTGGTTAATTGGCCAGTTAATTAGATGTTAGATCAGTTAACGGTTAAATTTTTCTTCAAAGTTCGGTTTAAAATTGGTTAACCGCATTAACTAAAAAATATTACATATTAAATATTATATATATATATATATGTTACATATAGCTAAGATAATGTTTTTACATAGATATAATATAGGATATTCCTAACTAATTCTTACAAGTAAATGTAATAACATTTATCATACGTATGAGCTTTTGGGATGGTGTTCGTCCCAGATCTTGGATGTCGAACCAATGGTGGAGGCCCTTCTTCTCCATGAAGTTATGCAAAAATATCAACCAACCAGAGTCGAATCTCGTCAACATTTCTTGGTCTGGGTATGGGTTTGGATCTCATCGATGCTTCTTGACCTAGGCACGGCTGGCTCTCATCAATGTTCTTTGACCTGGGTGCGGGGGTTGGCTACTTGGAGTTGTTAACATGACTGATTCTTTCAATACAATGTCGGAACTAGGTATTGCAAAACTGTATAATGCGAGAGTTTTCACATCCGAAGATGCCTAGCGGAGGGGTACTGTGTTTATTTTCTAAAAAAGAAAGCAACTGTTTTTAAAGGCGTGTATAGATCAACAGTCTGCATTACTCATTTTCTACCTTGAAATTTTTTTCTCATTAATTCTCTGCCATGACCGGATTAGACGTGGAAGCTGCTTTTCCATGCAGCTTTCTAAAGTTCCAATGCGTTGCCTTTTGTTTCAACGCTCAGCCCCAAACATCAATCATAAAGTCTTATGAACAGGGAAAAGCGAGGACCCAAGATTTTCTGGTGTCTCTGATTCACATCGGTGACGGATACAATAATCCGAGCCATGTCCCCCCTGAAAGGAACAAAACTTCAAAACAACATTTGGTGGCAAATGTCCTCAACATCCCATGTCTCAACTAATCATCAACCAACATACCGAATTTGATGTTGCCGTCTCTCATCTCATCTCACACTGTGAGCATCGTCCCCAACAGTAATGGAGGTATCACTTTCTTTCGCCAATGGAAACATACTATTATCTCAGTTAACATTGATAAGCAATCGATTGCCTCAATAGTTAAGTTCGTAAAGCTACAGTAAGGTGACAACGAAAATGGTAGACATGCCTCTGCTTTGATTTCATCAGTGGAAATATACATGTATTATCACAGAGATTATATATATATATACATATACACACATATGTATATATATATATATACACAAAGGTATCAGGGTCGAGATATAAAAGAAACAGTAGAGGTAGTAAATAGCACCTCAGAAAGTTAAAAACTCCTAATGAAACCTAATCCATGATATATTTTAATCTATCGATTCGTATTCTCTTGGATGGTGATCTCGAATGGATGCAAAGTTCAACTGGTCTACTTGCTTCCAGTGTAGAAATCATACCTCATGCCGATGGAATGTTAGCAGGTGTGCAAGATGCAGCCCTCTGTTGGATGCTGTTCATGCTGAGTTCCATACTCCTTTGAACCATGTCTTCCAGTAATCTCTTAGCAGTTTCAGCAGCTTTATCAGCTCCATCTACACGGACAGCGATATCATAAACAATTTTCTCCAGAACCGAGGAAGCCAATTTTTTTTCTTTCGGAGTGTCTCTAAGCAAATCCAAGAGAGTGCGGGCTCTTTCTTGAGCTATGCTGGTGCCCTCTACAGTCAGTCGTAAAAGCCCCGGGATTGCACCTTCATTAAGAATAAGTTCCCTGTATTTTTCTCGGCAGCTTTGGCACAACGAAAGCAAAGCACCGACAGCATGTTGTGTGCTTACGTGAGAGCCATCCTCCACAGTCTCAACCAAGGTTAATATCCCACCATCTGAATCAGTCATTGCAACCCGACCTTCTTCAGATTTAGAGAGGATTTCAAGTAGGGCCGTTGCTTTTTCAGCAAATTTCGAATATTTCTTGCATTCTTTGAGGAGATTGATAAGTGGGGAAACTGCTTTAGCATCGAGAATTGGAATGGAATTCTCTTTGCAGGTTGATAGGTTGTGCAAGGCAGTGACGGCATCAACTTTTCCTTGAACACTTCCCGAACCAAGGATTTGAACCAGAAAAGGTGCAGCGCCAGAGGCTGCAATCGTGGGCTTGTTAGGTGCAGCAGCTGAGAGTGTTAATATTGCAGCCGTCGCTAACTCTCTCAAACCACTATTTTGAAGTTTGAGAAGCTCCACAAGAGGAGGGACAGCCCCTGCTGTCACTATATTGACCTTGTTTCTGATAACATAAAATGAAAAGTGAAAAACATATAAACTCACTGCATAATCATAATTCGACGCTAACGATTCAATGAACCCATGTTATAAGAGGACAGCAGCAACTAGTAAAAAAGTACACAATTTCCCAACTACACAAGGAAAATGATACAAATAAAAAAATTCTGGAAATTTGTATCAACATAACTTATGTGACATAAGTGACATTTATTGTCATCGAGAACCAAGAATCACATAATTTCAAATTCTAGAACTGGGTAGAGTCATCAACATGGGCAAAGGAAAGGGAAATTGCATTGCCTGAACTCGAATCACAGTCCGACATAAAATCGAGCTTTTGCAAACTATGTTAGCTGGAATACAAAATTCTGGCTTCGGATAGAACCCTAAGCACATATTTATGCTAAATTTATGCATCTAAAAGCAAAGGTTGAAATTTGCATCAAGAAGCAACCTTTTCCGTAGATTCTCATCCAAAAAAATCCATTTTTATATTGGAACCAAACAATCTAAAAAATACAGAGAGCTAAAAGACACCACTTGAATCAGCCCCCTCAATCAATTATTTTCAATGGACAAGGACCAAATAGAGAAGCAATAAAATCCCACAGAAATCAACGAAGCTACTAATAAAACTAAAAAAATGATCCCATAGCGAAATACTCTCAAATTTATAGAAACTAAATGAGTTAATTGACTTGATAATTTACTCAAAGAACTTAAAAAGGCAACCCTGTATAACTTATCAATAATGATAACCCATTTTTCCCTCCAGTAAAATTTTCCAATCAACCAAAAAACGATGAAAACAACAAGAAATCAACCAATAAGCTTTAAAAAACGGAAGTTTAGAATAAATCCACAGATTTAACGACCTTTCATTTCGAACAGCAAGGTTGAGGAGAGCGAGAAGAGATACTTCACGGGCATCAAGATTAGGAGAGGAGAGCATTGAAACAAGTGGCTGGATAACCCCAGCAGCAGCAAATTTCGAACGTGTCTTAACAGAAGATTTTCTAACGAGTTTTCTAATGTCTCGAGCAGCTTCAATCTTGGCCTGTAGATCTCCGGTTATGAGCTTCTGAGAAAGCTCGTGTATAAGGGCTTGTTTCTGGAGGTTCCAAGTCTCTTCTTCTTGGTCTTTGCCGGCCGCGGTCGTTGGGGTTGCTGGCGGTGTCTCCTCTGCGTCGTGACCCATCTTTCCTTTAGGGGTTCTTTCAAAAAAAAACATGAGCATATATATAGTTATGAATTAAAGATTATTTAATATTTTTGCTGGTTTATTTCACGAGTAAAATAGATACCTAAAGTTATCATTGGATTTTACTTGATTTATTATTTTAATTTTGGAATTAATAATGGTGTATAAGGTTATATATATTGGTATAGTTAGGGAAAGTAACATAAATAAAACTATAATCACAAAATGTCTATTCCCTTGGCATTCGTATACACTAGGGAAAGAAGAGTAGCTGAAAGTTTATCTAAAATGATTTAGATTATCATGTTAGTTTTGAGTTAGATTCATTATATGATTCACTTATTTCCTTTCACTTTCTTGATTCAACTCTCTTTAAAGAACGTTTCACAATCAGAAGACGTGTTGATCATCAACCATGTTTATATTTAGAGCATCTATCATTCACTTAGCATAGAGCTCTACAATCAATTGTGGTATTTCCAGCTTCCAGCTTCCAGCTATTTTTTTGTGAAAAAAAGAGCCACATTCAAAGACTTTTTTGAACCCAAAGCCTTATTTTTAATTAAAGTTTATGTTTGTAAGAGAGTACATGTATATTTTAAAGATTGAAGACCCCCATATGTAAATCATATATTTGATGTCTCAAGGTTCTAGTTCTAATCTCAGTCTCCAAAGCCTGCTAGTTTTTTTGAAATGGTTTGTTACAACACCTTTAAATACAACGAGGAAAATATCTCCAACATCAATTACAAACTTACAAGTAACACAAGGATCTGGTTTGCACCATCATATTACATTGAATTTGTTGGCTGTATTTTTGTAAATCAACAAGTACCAGTGCTTTACAATGAAGCTAAAGAGAGACCTACCAAAAAATACACCTTCACTAATTGTGCAAGCCAAGAAATCAGACAACCACACTTTCACTTAAGAGTGCATTTAGGACACAATTTAAGTCAAAAGCCTCAACTGGAATGAAACAATTGAAAATTTGTTGGGCTTTTCTTATACCAGTTACAACACTTCAGTTCAGTACATCCTTTTCTTGCTATAAAAATCAACTTTACAGGTAAGACAAGAAGTTTATCATCCAGAACCCCCTAAACCTTAAATAAAAGGAAAAGTTTCTCACCCTTAATAGTAAATGCTAAGAGTTGAAGAACTTGAAAAGGAAAATATGAAGGGAAAAAGCTTTAAACTATGAAAAAGGAAAATTGGGTAAACACCATATAGCAAGAGACAGACCTGCACATGCCTACCTTCACTAACTTTAAACCGTCAAAATCAGTTAAAGGTGAAACCGAATCTTTTATGCCCTCAACCTGAGCAAACAGAAGATACCATTGGCATTTTTTTTGCCTCCTTGAACAGAATTAAAATCTTAACTCTGGCTAATGGTGTATCTTCTCAATGCTCCTCTCTATTCAGACCTGTTGGAGTTCCCAAAAATAGCACAAGATTGGAGACAATGAATTGTTTTGTTTGGTTGATTTACAAAAAGGTAAAAAAGGAACATATCTATCCTTGTTTCAGTAGTTACTGGGCCAGTTCATCTGTGCATGTTGAGGCTGCTGATAAACATTGGCAGCAGGTCCGCCCATGTCAACAGCTCCGGCCATAGTCTGAGCCTGTTGTAGAAGAGGATGAACACCTGCTGCTGCTACTTGAGGATGATAGATACCAGCAAAGGAGCAAGGACCAACCTGTGTTGGAGCAAACGTTACATTCTGACTCTGAGGGGGAAGGTTATAGAATGAAGTAGCTGTCAGACTGGATATGTCTTCACCAGGGGGAGCAATCCATACAGTAGAACCTTCACTCTGCAGCAAAGCAAATATGTGAAAAAATTATCATAGAGGGAAAAGAATTTCTTTTTTGTTAAACATAAAAGACACCTAATAAACTTGTCAAGAATGATAAGGTCAAATGACATTCTTCCCAGACCTGTGTTTATCCAAATCAGAACAGAGAATGCTTAAGGAAGACAGGTGCAGATAAGTACATTATTTAGAAACACAACAGAATTAAATCAACTGATGAGAATGTGATCACCATTTTACGCATCAAATTAGCATGAATTTAAAGCATCAACAAGGCATAGTCTTTGGTCCAAAAAGGATAAGAATTTATCTTGATTAAGAAGCACACTTACCAAAAACAATCTTCTTAATAAGAATTAGGTTGGCTAAATGGTTTCTAGCTAAATTTCCCCATGTCCAAATACAAGTTGATTTGTTAGTAGGGGACCCCTCTCTTGCAGACAGGTTTCTTTATCTGAATGTTCACAGAAGTTTGGTACATAGCTGGCATCCTCCCCCAGCAGATTTTAACAGATTTAATGTTGATGGGGCTGTTAAGTATGATGGGATGGCTGGTGGAATTGGAGGTATTTTGAGAGACTGTAACAGCTTCACTTTGTTGACTTTCTCTGTTAGTGTTGGTCCTGGCCCTCCTCCTTTGGCTGAGTTGAAAGCTATTAAGAAAGGCATTGACATTTTTCTATCATCAGATTGGGCTGTGAAGGGAAGACTGATTTTAGAGAGTGACTGCAAATCTGCAGTAGACTGGATTTTGTTGCCTAATTCTGCTGCTACTTTCTTCAGTTCCCTTGTTTTGGATATTGTGTCCTTAGTATTAGAGAGGGCGGTTATTATTAGATTGATTCCTAGGGGCTGTAATTGGGAGGCTGATAAATTAGCTAAGGAGGGGATCGGTTGATTGTAAGGGTATTTTTCTAGGGAGCTTTAATGGTTTTTGTTTAATCTGCTGCCCTAAGTGTATTGGTGTATTTTAATGTACTAGTTCTCTATATATTAAATTGAGGCACTCTTTTCCTCCTTCCGCTAGTTACTCTTTTGAAGAGTCAACTAAGAGGGAGGTTTTTAATGAGGCCTACTATTCCTATAAAAAAAAAAAGCACACTTACCAACCACCCCAAACTGCCCCCTAAACTTGAACAAACAGAAAAACAAGAATTGACATTTGCAGACTTCTCAAAACAGTAACGTAAAGAGATGGAAAAGGCAAGAAAAATCATCCGAGGATGAATGCAAAATTCAATTTCAAACACCGAAGACAATTCCCAGCTGCAAAGAACTACTTTAATCTAGACACAGACATAAGCAATTGAGATGGGAACCAAAAAAGATTGTTCTTCCATTATTGTCTTGTTTCATAAATGTAGTCCAAAATATATCGGTAGTTAGCACTATACTCTAATAAAAAAAAAACTTGTGTCCAAAGATGCATAGAAAAATAAACCCAGAACAAACTCGGACATGAACCTACAACCCATTACAAAATTTTTGTTTCATAATTTCTTCAAGAAATTAAAAGGAAAGCCAAAAATGGGAACGTGTTGCTAACCTGCTGCCCCATGATGTACACACTGCTTTCCTTGAACTGCGATGCACCAATATACTCATTTGTGGTTGAGTTTCAAGTTGTCGCAGCAGAACTGGGATTATAACCAGCTGTAGACCCATATGGCCCATAACCACTTGGAATTCCAATAGGTGCAGAATTCGATGTATTATTTCCAGGTTTAAATTGAGGAAGCGAAAATTTGACTCCTGTGGTAGGCGCTGCTGGTGCAGAAGGATAAACAGTTCCAGCTTGAGGTTGTAGAGGAAAAGCACCGTCGTTTATAAATTGATGGATTGCAGGAGAAGGATAATATATAGGAGAGTAAAAGGGGGCATATTGAATGTAGTTTGGAGGATAATTTGGTAAATGCACCCCAGCTGCTGAACTATAGACAGGGACTGGTTGCTGAGTCACAGGTATAGAACTTTGCACCGGCCAGGCAGCTTGAGTTACTACTGGAGTTGGACTTGCTGTTGTCAGTACCAAAGTGTTTCCACCCTGCCAAGTGCAACAGATGCAAATAAGCTACAAGTTCCGAGAACATTGAATTAATACACATTCCATATGCATGCGTCTAGAATTTGGATGCGTCCAGTGGTAACAGCATATTTAAATTCAGTATTAGTATGTAATATTGTACAGAAAGATGAAGTATAAAAGTAATCAACTGCCTTGTCTGACAATCATGTATTGATGCCACTAAAAGTTTCACCAAGTCCAACTTCTCAGCTCACCCAAAGGGGCTCCAAAAAACAAAAATTTAGGAGGTTTGATTGTTTTTGATAGAAAGGCCCCATTAAAATCCTCCTTCAATCCCTCCATGTTATGAGAGTAACATGAAGGAACAACGAAGGAAGGAGGTTTGATTGTTGCTATAGCGAAACCATCTACCTTAACAAAAAACACCAATAAGTGATACTTAGAAGTCGCCAAGTAGGACAGAGAATCATCTATCTAGAATGTTCGAAATCTGGGCAACTATATTTCAGCAACTAAAAATTCTAGACAGTAGATCAAAGTCCAATGGAACTTTGGCATATTACCTCAAACAAATTAGTCGATTAGACAAGGAAAAACAATATGCTCATTCAACTAACAACAGATTGCAGGATTTGTTCAGAAAGTAAATATTTCTCCATTAAACTACACTTTTTCTATGTAAAATTATGCAAGGTTCTTAATTTCTGCAAACCTTTTGTGGAGACTGAGAAGTCTGTGGGAGTACTGCAACATTCCCATTGTATTTTGTGGCGATTCCAGCCGAGGGAAAGGGAGAAAGACGGCCATCATTATCAGCACTTGAACGGTAGAACTGGGCATAATAAGCTGCTGGATCAAATGGCTGTTGAACCTACATATCAAAGCATTAATAAAACAAGAAAGAAGTATCAGAGGCTACAAGTAGCACAAGCGAAATTGTCTTTATAGAAACAATATTATAGAAATCAGCAATATGACCAAAAACAAAACTCAAACCGAGAATTTAACATAAACTAGTTAACATATGAAACTTTCTACTACTTTTTACATAAAAAAATCATGCTAAAAGAAACTCAAGCTTGAATAATACAAAGACAATAGTAGAGCAGCATTTATTTAGGGGGATGCTCACAACAAAGCTTGAAAGGCGAGAAACTTCATGTGTTTGACATTCAGGATTTTCAACTGGTGCTAAAATAGGAGGGACAAGTCCAAAATTGTAGTTAGGAGGTGTATGGACCACAGTGTATTGATGGCTTCCAGAGAGAAATGCATTCTCCTGCTTGTTTTCATTATACTCTGGAATGGAACTAGAGACAACACCATCACCAGGCAAATTTTCAGGAGCATGTGCAGGTGATTGCGGATGATCAGAGTAATCTCCTTCCTCAGCAATTGCCAATGCATTTTGATTGCTAGAAAAGGTAACATACAATAAACTATCACGAGCCCAACATACAAAAACAAACCAAATAATAGCAAGATTGCTATCCCTAGAAAGGTTATCATTGCTTATTCCATAGGAAAAGGAGTCAAAATTGCTTAGAAGTCAAAAAGTTAACAAACCTTGAAGCCTGCTCTTCGGAAGTTTCATCAAGATCTTTAGAAGCCTCAGACAAAGGTGTAGGACTCTTAGCACTCTCCTGACAACCAACACTGCTCCATGTTACTCCAAAACTAGCATCAAAACTTCCAAAATTCAGCTTGGTTCTTTCAGATTCTGGGACATGGATATGGTTTGGAATTATAACATGTCGGCGTTGAGGGAGATGCAACTCCTCTAGCTTCTTCTGCAATTTTGAAGTTGCTTCTTCAGAGTCAAGAACTCTTGAAACAGGCTGCCAATGAGCATTGGCTTCAACTGAACTAGTAGGAACATCAGATGCACCAGCTGTTCCCGAACCCCGCCCAACATTAGAGCTGATTGACTTTGGTTTCCACTCATTATTTGAACCAACTGTTGATGAAATATAGGAATTAATACTTTGCATATATTAATCAAGCGTCAACTAGCTTCGGATAAGAACATAAAGTAGTCCAAACATTTGTAAAAAGCAAACATTTTCATTTACAGTTATCAAGTCATCACTCATCAGTAAGTAATATGAAAAGAATGAAAAACCAAGTAAATTTGTGCTAAAGGTATCTTAAGTTTTAAAAGCTTTCCCTGCTGTTTCTCACAATTACACTGTTATTTAAGGGGATTCTTCTATTTACATAAGGGCAATTGACCCATCCTTCTCAATTATAATGATAATTTTTCATTCAAACTTTGCAACAAACATGCTACTGAATTCTGTTTTGCTCAGAGGAAAAGGTGACTGATATCCATTTACCAAAAATAGTTATAGATTCCAATGATTATAAGGAGTAACATTGTGAGTCTGAACTCTGAACATCATTAGTCAATCAAACAAGAGAGAACATTCAACTAAACTTTCCTGGTCTAAGTG